CAATGTCTGATTGTAAGCCAGAAGAAAAAAAAATGAATATCATATTGAATAATAATTAAACTTCAGCTTTTACATGTACCCTGTTTGCTCACATTACATAGTAATAGTAATAGTAAATAATTTCCACGTACCATCTACGATATTAGCGGTTGATCCGGCTCCCATACAATTCAAGACATGTACGCTGTAAAGACTAGCAGACGTAGCGATACAAACCGCAATTCCAGCAGAAGTACCTCCACAATGAGTACCGTGGCCATTGCAATCGTCACCCTAAAATGTAATTAACAAATAAGGGTTGGTCATTCGAAAACCCCGTGAGGTATTATATTAATTGAAATTCACGGAGTTGAAACAGTGGCATTGTTGGTGATTTCTTAATAGTTAACTTCACCATTCATCTAATTTTGTATCGGTAAATTTGTCACATCCACTAGGACATACTCCATTAGACGCCTCAAAATCCCAGAAGTAGCTTGCGCGTCTCTGATATTCCTGATGGGTGTGACGCAGACCAGTGTCGATGATGTACACATGAGCACCGCTACCATCACCTGAAAATGAATAACGACCGGATCACAAAATCTAACACACACGCGTTTCGCTTTACAATATTTGTTTGTCACAATAGATGTAAATAATTCTAAAGGCGTGAAAAATACTGACCATAAATATTCATTGCGCCATTAGCGGAAGATTCCTCTGATCAATACGATCGCAACCCCACTCAACCGATGTTTTGTAGATACCATCTTGTTCAATGTATTCTACATCGGGCATATGTTGAAGCTATAGAAAGATTATGTTTGTAGAATGATATGTTGGAACATGGATGTAGGAGTTTAAAATGAAACATTCATTTGCATTTAATTGTTTTTGTATTGAATTGAATTTTATTACATATAAAATAGTTAGAGTCATAATAACTCACCATGCTGATATATTCGGGTAGGGCAGTGATGGCAATACCGTTGAAAGATTTGTAACGTTTGGTCACTGACATTCGGAGTACCGGTAGTTTCTTTACAAACTGGTCAATATTTTGGTCATCCTGCACAAATTACAAAAGTACGAGTTAGCGAAAATATATAATTGAAAAGGAGCATTAAATTGAACATTATTAATATAACTAGTATATGTGTATGAGCGACAGGCACATTTATGTATATTAGTTTGGTCAATTAATCCTTACCTTAATTTTCACTAAGTAACTGTTCTCAATCGGATCCCTGTAAATAGGCGCCAGAGAAGCAGCACTGGGTACGGCAACGAGTAGAGATATGTTGAGTACACGCATGGTGAAGTCTGGGATAAATAAATACATTTTATATAATAATTAATTAATTAACTTATGTTTTTTGCTTGCTAGTTGAAAACAGTTTTATGTATTGTATCATAGTGTTTATAACAAAGCAAATTACACACATTTCATCTATAAGCAAAAAGTCATATAAGTATGTATAAATGGTCAATCCAGCTGTACTTATCTGTTCAATTGGTTCGAGTTGAATGGAAAACTCGACGATTATTGTCGCTTTTATATGCTTCAACAATCATGTTTTTGGTTAATTATTATCTTGTTTATCCGGTAAAGATTGCTTTTGATAAAATATTGATAATGGATATGAGTATGACATTCAAATCTCATATCTCTTGCACATATGTTCAATTCCCAAGATTATCATGAGCCCATCTTTGCGGTCACATTGTTTGTTTCCATTGAACTTTCCCAATATGTGTAACCTGCAGGGTACATTAATTGAGAAGATTATATCTCCTCAATTTATTGGCGATGTCATTAATTCTCTATTTGCCACATGTCCGATAGCTTTACTACTTCTGTGTTCTTACAGGACAGAGCAACCCATTAAACCATTCGGTCGCTTGTATATATATTTGTTTGTATGTATATGGACGTTGTATTAGTAATATATATATGTAATATATGTTTTTCCCTCCAGCTTTCTATCATAAATATAAAGCATGCAATGCTATCATTTAGTTACACCCATTATTCAGAAAATATTCCTCTATTCCTAAATAATGGCCAAAATTGGCCAAACATATTTTTTGGGAAATAGACAAATTATGAAAACGACGCTTTAAGCTTTTGGTCATTCGCTTTTGCATGGCAGCATAGTAAAATTAGGTGGCCATATTAGTGTGCATACAAACAAATCATTTTAGTTGTGCTACCAATTAAGCTTCCGATAATGGATAAGCTCACCGTTCACACACTAGGGAGGTGAAATGTCTTTAGAACCAAGCCAACGTCCATAGCGACTAACAAAAAACAACATTTTGGTGAAAAAAAAACTGTAGTAAGTTGACATAATGTACTTGTTTTGTACATTTCCATACTCATACAATGGCCGACTTCCTGTGAGCTGTATTGAACTGTTTTCTTGTGAAGGTTTTATTAACATCATAGTAGGTACATAGTACATCCATGTACAAAATTAAAT